TCCGCGAAATTTTTTGTGAAAATCCGCGAATTATTTTTGTTTTGTTTTACGATGTACACAAAGAGAACATGTTCACAACTAATTTAGAAGATGGGCGCGAAGCGCCCTCTAAGGCTAGAAAGAAGGGCGCGAAGCGCCTTGAATTTCTAGTGATACATATTCGAATATAATGAAGATAGATAGATGAATAGATGTCTACGTAGATTAATAGGTAATTGATGTAGTTGAATGAATAGATGCATCTAGCTAGATAGATCTGATCTTTTATTTACTTCCTTATATAGCCCTGGAGGAGTGCCAATATAAACTGTTCTTCTGCTTTCATTCTTCTTCTTAATTTCTAAATAACTCATTTAAAGGGACTGTAAGCCTAATTTCAAGTGATCCTTTATTTAAAGAGTAGCATGTCTGATTACACCGTATCTTTAAAAGTTATGTATGATCAAGAATAAACGAGAAATTTTTTTTTTCTTAAAAAATTATTATTTTTAATTTTAATTTCTCTTTTAAAATGTCTGGCGGATTTCTCATTTGAACCCAACCTTACTTTTCTGTCCTTTTTTTGTACTTATTGTAATTCCTGTAATTCCCTGGGCCTGTGCTATTTGCTGTTCCCTGAACAAAGATCAGATGAAGATCTAAATTCCAAGTTCAAGAAATCTCAAGAAAAATTTCAGTGAAAGAGTTAGATGCAGTTAAAGATAGATAGATAGATAGATAGATAGATAGATAGATAGATAGATAGATAGATAGATATATAGATAGGTAGATAGATAGATAAATGAATAAATAGAAATAGAGAGGTCTTTTAAAAAACCAAAGCTATCAAAAAGTACTTTATAGTACTAAAATATACATGGAAATGGCTATAGAAAAGCAATTGTGAGTTAGAGCGATAAAAACAAAGCCCATGGTGTTGTGACACTTCAAAGTCGACCCTGTCTTAAAAATTTATGAGATTTTTACAAGCAGGCTGAAACTATGTGAAGAGTATAAATTATAAAGATAGAAGACATAGTACGTTTAAGCAACTTTAAAAAAAAACCACGTTGGTAAATCAAACAGCATATATAGAGTTCCACTTATCCATTAGAACCAATAGAACCAATAGAAATAGTATGTCGGTAACATCTATCCTTCTATCTATCTCATTATCCAATTAGAGTTATGAATCCTTCTATCAGCGCTATCAGTAAAAGGAAATATTTTCTTCTTCTAAAACTATATTAGGGGGAGGTCAAATCTATGTTTCTGCAAGGCAAGCAAAGGAACTGAGTTTTAGCACCATAAATTCTGATTTTCAAATCGCTATATATTTGTTGCCTGACGGTGTTAACCTTTTATATTTCAAACTGTTATTATTTGAACTAAAATAATTCATAGTTTGAAATATCTAAGGTCTCTGACATTGAAATGAAAAGCTATAAGGAGAAGAAAATCAGAGTTTGTGACAAAAATTCAATTTCTTTATCCGATAATACACCGAAAATTTATTTTTGTTCTTAATTTAATAAATTATTTTAATGTTTCATGCAATTAGGTTTATTTATGTAAACTCACAGCTTCGCTAGTTTTAAGTGTACGCATAAAAAACATAACAAACGCACTAAGAAACATAACATACGCAAAGTATACAAAAACATACTAGAAACTCAAAACATTTTTAGTATTCTCAATTGCTCAATAATAAGAGGAAACTGAGGCAACATATAAGATTTCAATCTAACGTGCAGTTTACTTTAGATTGGCGTGGTATAGATTGAACATTAGATTGGCGTGGTATAGAATGAACATCAGATTGACGTGGTTTAGATTGAACATTAGATTGGCGTGGTACAGATTGAACATTAGATTGGCTTGGTACAGATTGAACATTAGATTGGCGTGGTATAGATTGAACATTAGATTGGCGTGGTATAGAATGAACATCAGATTGACGTGGTTTAGATTGAACATTAGATTGGCGTGGTATTGATTGAACATTATATTGGCGTGGTATAGATTGAACATCAGATTGGCGTGGAATAGATTGAATATTAGATTGGTGTGGTATAGATTGAACATTAAATTGGCGTGGCATAGATTGAACATTAGATTAGCGTGGTACAGATTGAACATTAGATTGGCGTGGTACAGATTGAACATTAGATTTGGGAGGTACAGATTGAACATTTAATTGGGGTGGTACAGATTGAACATTAGATTGGCGTGGTACAGATTGAACATTATATTGGCGTGGTATAGATTGAACATTGGATCGGCGTGGTACAGATTGAACATTAGATTGGCGTGATACAGATTGAACAAAATGTAACAAAGTACGCTGCACCTTATAACATAAAGTATAAAATATAAAAGAATGAATAATGATACTCTACGACAGATCACAGAAAGGAGAAAGTCAAAACAAACAAAAAAGATGATTCTCTCAAAAAAAGTAATCTTTCTTATTGAAAGAAATTATTTCTTAATGAGCTTGAATTTGGCAGAAGTTCAAACAAGATTTAATCTTTTTTTTCTATCTTTCTAACTAACTAACTTTCCTCGACTTTTTAGTTTTGATTTTTCCCTTCTATAAAATTCAAGTCCTTTGTTTTTCTTCTTTTATATTTCTCTTGTCGTTTTTTCTTCTGTCCAGATATTTTTTTCTCGATTGTTTGCAGATTTGAAAAGTATTAACAGTGTAATAATATGTATGATATCAAAGCCTGCAGACTGCAGTAATTTTATTATAGTATAAAATCAACAGTTTATTGATATATGCTAGATGCAGAGCTGTAGTGTGTTAATTATATTGTATTATATATTGTTAAATATAATAATTTCAAGATTTATTGTCCAGATTAAATCGCGAAAAGTTTGAATATTTGGCGGCAAAATGCGGCGGCAGGATCTTGTTAGCATGGCTTGGTGCAATCGGGGCGTAATCTTATCTCTTGATCTCATTGGTGCTTATCTACAGCACACATCTCATTGGTTGCCAGCTGCACAATGCTACGCGGCAGCTTGGGAGTCAGCTGCGCGCGTAGCTGTCGAGAGCACTAGGGGCATAACAGCTTAAAGTGCCGTTCGTTATATTTTATGATTTGGAAGAAGGTTTCAGAAGCAGGGTTAGATCCTAGGGTAGCAAGCTTTATTCACGTTTTAGTAGATAAGGATTAGGAGGATACTATACCAAGGGGGGTGTAAAGAGAACCTTTTAAAATATGGTAGCGTTGGGTAGGGGGGGGATTATGTGTGAAGGGGGAACTGGAGGGTGTTGAGAGGGTATAGATTGTAAATCGAAGGGGGGGGGGGGTAACAAAGGAAATACATATGTGTACTTTGTACACATGTAGATTTTATGTATTGGAAAACAGTCCTATTACTTATACAGCACTTTATAGCAGGGTTTTCTTTCATTGGAACATTCCCCTTTCTCTGCAGTTTTGTTCTCTGATTTATTGCGTATTTTGCACAATTGGATATATTTTTCTTAGCACAATTGATATATATTTAAGCTTTCTTTGCACAATTGGATATATATTTAAGCTTTCTTAGCACAATTGGATATATTTTTAAGCTTTCTTAGCACAATTGGCTATATATTTAAGCTTTCTTAGCACAATTGGATATATGTTTAAGCTTTCTTAGCACAATTGGATATATTTTTAAGCTTTCTTAGCACAATTGGATATATATTTATGCTTTCTTAGCACAATTGGATATATGTTTAAGCTTTCTTAGCACAATTGGATATATTTTTAAGCTGTCTTAGCACAATTGGATATATTTTAAGCTTTATTAGCACAATAGGATATATTTTTAAGACGTGTCTTTGCACAATTTTTTCTTTCATGGATATACATTATTAATTATCTAAATAGATGGTTTGTTCACCAATAGGGATTTAGCTTTATCTTTATTTCCATCTTTTCACTTCTGTTTTATCCTAATATAATCGTTATGTTTTTAAGGCCTTGTTCAATGTTCATGCATTAAGATATATAAAACCATGCAGACTATACAGGGCTTAAAATCTACTGCTAGATCTAACTAGATTAGAGATCTCAAGCCCTAAAATCCGACCAAATCTATGAGACTGAAAATATAATTTACTAAATTTACTGTTTCTGTCTTCTCTCTGTTTTTCACGACTAAAGAATGACGATAAAAAGTTCGTAACCGCGGCCGTTGTTGTGTCGCTAAAATATTTGAATTTATTGAATCTGAAAAAAATTTTATAAGCTCATTGATTTTTTACTGCCGCTTTTTACTCGTCGAAATTGTCGCCCAAATCTCGAATTTGTGTGCGCGTGGCACAGGCCAGGCGGCACACAGCTCACACACAACATTTCCCGGATTTTCAGGCGTTCCGTTCAGTCTCAGACGGGCGGTGCAAGTTCGAACCTTCGCGGATTTTCCGTCCGGGTCAGGCCATAGGCAGACTTCAGGCAGATTCGTCGCGCTGGGTCAACCAGGCAGCCAAGGCAGAGTGCGCCTACGTGGATGCTGCACTGTGCACCGGTCAGTTATCTTTTCTTGATATTCGAGATAAGACGAGAAAAAGTGTCCTGTGTCCGTAGATCAGAGATGTTATCGCAGTACAGAATTGGAAGTCAATAACCGGCAGATTTTCAATTAATTCAGCCCCTCCCCCCTCCTCCTCCTTCTTCTTCTGTAACACAATCAAGTCTCCAATATAAATTCTAATTTAAGCAGAGGAGAACATTTTTACAAGAGTAATAAAATGTTTTTATAAAACTCTAAACATGAAATAAAATCAATTTCTTCAACATTCACAACAAAAACATTGAACACTGATGAAAACAGCAAAGATTAGATTCAGGCACATAAACATACAAAAGGCGGAAGTAACTAAGTGATTTGGCGGAGAAAACCCGTCAAGTGTCTGTAGTGGCGGATTACTGGCGGATATTAAAGCAATGGTTGTATCGATGGAGGAAAATATGCATAGAATACCAAGTTGGTATATGGATTCATCAGGTACCTCCCCCCCCTCCCATAGAATACCAAGTTGGTATATGGATTCATCAGGTACCTCCCCCCCCTCCCATAGAATACCAAGTTGGTATATGGATTCATCAGGTACCTCCCTCTGTCTACATTTTTAAAAATCTTGAAATGGGGAAAAAAAAATTTACAATTGAACTGATATTTTCCCCAAATTCTAATTTTATAACACCCTTATTTTTATAATCTTATGGCATAAACATTTAATATTTCAAACTTGTGAAGGAACTGAGTCTTTGCCACAAGCTCTGATTTTCGGATCCCAATATTTGCAAGATATAGAGTTTACACAGATATTTCAAACAATGAATTCTGTTAGATCAAACAATCTCAGTTTGAAATAACAAAAGTTTACCCCATCAGGTTGTAAAGATTTGTAAAGATATAAATTTTATCCTATGGCAAAGATAAAAGATATTAAGTTAGAGGCGAGTAATCAGTTCATTTAACCTTCAGAGTTGGGAAAATAATTCAAAATGAAAGTTCTGATCAATACAAATTTTAGGAAGTTCCCTGTATCCTGGTAAGATGGGCGGGGAAGTGGGCGGATCTGCTGCATATTTTCCCCCAACCCCAATGCAATCCCCATACGGATCTCATGGTAAGCAAACACTAAAATTTCAAAATATTGCCAATTGCCACAAACTCCAATTTTGTATTCCAAATATTTTTTGAAACCGGATAATGTAAACCTTTGTTATTTCAAACTTTGACAATTTGATCTACCAGATCATTTTAAATATCAAAGATCTGTAGAGACAGTATAATATAAAACATAGGAATTAGAAAATTGGAGTTTTTGGCGAAAGAGTGTGGTATTTCTTTATATACTCCTTTTTCAAAAGTTGATCGTATCGTCAGTTTCAGGACAGTATTTTTTACCGTACAAAATTTGGAACTAAAATTTAATACGTTTAGTTTTAATTTCCAGATTTCTAGATTATTTGAGGATAAAGTTTAAAAAGTTGGACAAAACAGTTTAATTATTATTTATTATTATTATTCGAATACTTATAGCTCGAATGGCTGCCGATGCTCAAATGATGAGTCATTTCTACTCCCCCCTTCATCATATGTATGGGTCGCTTCATCATCCAACTAGATATCCAACTGAACAAAAATATCCAGACCAAAAATATCCAGCCGTAGAGCAAAAATATCCATGCAGCCCTGACCCTAAGTATCCTGAACCAAAGTATCCTGGGGAAGATGCAAAGTATCCAGGGATAGACACGAAGTATCCAGGTACTGAGCAAAAGTATCCGATGGAAAAGTATGGATACTCGGACCAAGGGTATCCGGTTAACGCGGATAAGAACAAGTCTTCTCCTGAACCATCCTCCCAACCTCAGTTCGATGATCGGTAAGTTTACATGTTTACAAGATTGTTAAATAAGTTGGGTGACATATTTAAAGTTTATATGATCAAACTTTGAACTCTGTTAGATCAAAAAGTCTATGTTTGAAATATCAAAGGTTTGCACCATCAGGTTGGAAAGATATAATGATAAGAAAATTTTGGTTTGTTTGGCAGCCTTAATTTCTTTTTGGAATTGAGTTTTTGCCACAATCTCTGCCTTTCTTCTTTTTCCAATTTCTTTGCAACCCAATGTCAGATATCTTATATATTTCGAAAGGAATTGAGTTTTTGCCACAAATCCAAATTTTATAATACCTATATCTTAATAACCAAATGATGCATACCTTTCATATTTCAAACTTACATTGTTTGATCCACCAGAATTCATAGTTTGAAATATCTACGACATTTGGTTATAAAGAAATTGGGTTTTAAAAATCCAAGTTTGTGGCAAAGACTCAATTCCTTTATAAATAATATTTTAAGCAAAGCCTCGTCTTTTGCGGGGAACCCTGTATCAAACTAACTAGATCGATAGTATATCTAGAGTTGTTTGACCAAGATGAGTAGATTTTTATCTATCTATCTTCAAGATGAGTAGATATGTATCTATCTATCTTCTAACCTAGACCGATCACATTAATAATGTAACAAACGTCCAATAACTGTCAGATTAAACTAAAACTTTGTTTGATTTAATTATCCTATATGTCTATCCTTAAATAAGGAAGAAGTTCAGATGATTCGGAACCATTGTACGACTTTGCAACTCCACAACCTTATTTTACAATTAAGAGTTTTAAAAGCCAACTTGTTTCGTTGCACATACATATGAGGACTATCTGAACAACTATAATTTTCATATCAATACCTCTTAAAGAATTAATTGCATTTATAAACATACACGATTTTTAACAAAAACTTTTAAAACGAAAAGGTCATATTGATATATATGATATTTCTGATACAACTTCGCGACCTCGTAGCTCTTTATATATTTGATTTTTAATATATAAGAAAATTTCGAACAGTTAACAGTTTTTACAGCTCTTCAAAAAAGGATATATGAAGCATGTAAGATTTGAATTTAACGTTAAATTTTATTATAAATTCAAATTTTCTGATATCTTTGATTTTTCAAACTTAGATTATTTAATCTATAATAATTCATATTTTGAAATATCTAAGGCCTACGACATTAGATTACAAAGATATGGAGATTAGAAAATCAGAACTTGTGGCAGAAACTCAATTTCTTTGTCTAGGGTATACTTAAGTCCTCCGAGCCAGGAACCTCTAGATGTTAAACCCCTGCAGGAGAAGAGAGAAAAGGAGAAGGAGTTTAATGAGGAATATCCAGGATATTTTATACAGGTAAATTATTATTATTATTGATTTATAGATATATGAATAGAGATATATATAGATAGATATATACAAAGATATGTTGAGTTGTATGTTTTGAATATTTAACTACTTGAAGTCCACAAAACTTTTTTGATGGCTTTTGATTGAAAAGATCATATCTTATTCTTAACCCTAATCTTGCCGGGGGGGGTCTTATTTTTAACTGAGCTATTTTCAGTAGGGGCATGCAGAACATAATTAAATCTTGCAAATCAAATGCATTGGCTAAATCTTCCTAAAGTAACTTTTCAACTATTTAGCATGTACTGCAAGATGTATAAGAATGAATTAGTCAGTAAATAGAATAGATAGTTGAAAGATACATAATAACATAAATACTGTAATTAACCCCTTTTTAAACATAATTAATATCTGTTTTAAATTAATTATCCGTTAATTTACAATTCATAAATTTTACAGCAAAACTAGAGGTTTATAATTTTAACCCTATTCCCGCTGGGGGGGGGTCAATTTGACCCCCCCCTGTAGTTTTTTTTACATAACTCAAAAAGTATTGGTCTGAGGCTGTTGAAATTTTCTGACTTTTCTTACATACCCAAAGCCCTCCCTTTAGGCCTAAAACCGGGCTTTAATACTAACTGCCTGAGTCCTCAGGCACACTGCCTGAATGACTGCTCTTGCCTGTAGCAAACTAAATCTTTGTTTTGACCCACTTTCACTTGTCAGATTTTGATAAAATTTAGCTTTTTGGAAAGCCTATGACATAAGGAAACGGATTGCACAAGTTTTGCGAAAAAAAAATTGCAAATTTTTTGCAAACAACCTGTCAAAGGAAATTTGCACATTTTTAGTTTTTCTTGATTAAAAATCAGGTTATTTAAAATTTTGCAAAAATTTTTGCATATTTGAAATGGCATGGTCAAGGGCTTTTCAAAAATGTATAATTTGTCATTTTTTGGACAAATTTTTTTTTGCAAACATTTTTACTATAAAACTGGATTTTGCGATAAAAAATTCAATTTTCGCAAATTTGCAAATTTTTTTGCAGATTCTAAAAGTAGAGCACAAGAGCTTTCTAATGATGTATCATTTGTCATATTTGGACATAAAACATGGGATTTAGAGGGGGGGGTCAAATTGACCCCCCCCCAGCGTATCCTGGTTTTCAAGTACCCCAGCGGAGATAGGGTTAATTTCATGTTTTACATACATCTTAGTTGTTGCTACGTGTTCTGCCATTATACAAATTATTTGAAATTTTGTAACTTTTGTTATCCAATAATATGTTATCATAATACCATAAATTATAAACTTTATTTACCCGTGGGAAATTTTTGGGAAAAAATTTAATGTTTCAAAAAAAATTTCATACTTGTGCGAAAAATCAAAACTAGATAATCTAGAAGGTCACAAAGTCGTAGAAGTAATATCTCATCAATTTTACCTTCACTCCAGTATGCCGATTCCATTAGCACCTGATGCAATCAGGGTTCAGTCATGTGTTTGTTGTCTATTCTGAACCAATAGAAATAGTATGGTGGTAACATCTATCTTTCTATCTATCTCATAATTCAATTAGAGTTATGATGAACCCTTTAATCGGAACTATCAGTGTAAATATTTACTTCTACTGAAACTATAGTGTCTATCTGTCTAGTTGACTATGCCTCTAAACTTTGTAAATATTTACTTCTACTGAAACTATAGTGTCTATCTGTCTAGTTGACTATGCCTCTAAACTTTGTAAATATTTACTTCTACTGAAACTATAGTGTCTATCTGTCTAGTTGACTATGCCTCTAAACTTTGTAAATATTTACTTCTACTGAAACTATAGTGTCTATCTGTCTAGTTGACTATGCCTCTAAACTTTGTAAATATTTACTTCTACTGAAACTATAGTGTCTATCTGTCTAGTTGACTATGCCTCTAAACTTTGTAAATATTTACTTCTACTGAAACTATAGTGTCTATCTGTCTAGTTGACTATGCCTCTAAACTTTGTAAATATTTACTTCTACTGAAACTATANCCCCCCTCACCTTACTACCATCCTACTCCTAGCTTTTAACCATAACCGTTTAAAGATATGTTAATGACCGATTCTATAGATTTTCAACGTTTTTCAACATTTTCAACAATTTTCATGAAATCTTTCTTAATTAAAATAGTTACTTTGATCATGTCTTGGAAAATGAAATAACGGTCGCAATTTTTTCAGAGGGTAGAGAGTGTGTGAACTGCGGTGCAACATCTACTCCGTTGTGGAGACGGGATGGAAATGGTCACTATCTCTGCAATGCATGTGGTCTTTATTACAAAATGAATGGAACAAATAGACCTTTAGTCAAACCAAAACGACGACTGGTAAGTGTGAAATGTTAAAATATTGGAAAATAACAAAAGTAATCGTCTCACGTTTTTGTTAAAAAGAATATCTATTTTGTCTATATTAATGATGTAAGAAAAGCTGAAGTGTAAATCTACAGTAATTATTTTCAAATTTCTCTTTATCTGTGTTGAAAGGTGGACATATTGTATTTCCGGCCATATGCCGCCATTATCAGCTGTTGCATAGGCAGCTGAGGTTGCGTGATTTTCATATTCTAATTTTGCGCATTTTCAGTCCTCAGCAAAGCGGGAAGGAACCAGCTGTACAAACTGTAATACAACAACAACAACACTCTGGAGAAGAAATACAAACGGAGAACCCGTTTGCAATGCATGTGGTCTCTATCACAAATTGCATAATGTTCCCCGACCTACCGCTCTCAAGAAGGAGAATATACAGACCAGGAACAGGAAGCTGTCGACAAAGTCGAAGAAAAAACGACAAGGTCTCGGCGGATTTTTCCCGGGCGGACTAGATTCAAGATATGGCGGATTTCCGCCCGGAGTGGGCATGGGGGGAATGTCTTCTCATGTCGGAATGCCCGGCTATTACCCGGAGCTACATTCAATGACCTCCCAGTTTATGACCCCGACCTCTATGTTTGGAGGTGGTGGAGTGAGCGGTATGAATCCGCCTCTAAACCTGTCTCATCACACAATCCCAGGACCACAGGGACAGTTTGTGTAAACAGCAGAATCAGAAGACTAATTTCAAGTTATAGTTAAACTCAGAACATTTTGTGATAAAACAGATTCATTTTCATAAAACAGAGCTAATGAAAATAGTTTTTTTTTCTCACGATTAGCACAATTATTCTCTAAATAATTTTGCATTGCAGACAAATAATTCTTGCTAATTTAATTGTTAATGCAATACATATGTAAAAGACAGATTAATCTTAAAGCAGTGCAATACAATGTGATGACAAATTGCCTAAACTTCCATCCTGTCTTTAAGAAACATGACTTTCAAATGTGATTTCAACTTTTCATAGTCTCTCTCTCATAGTTATCCATGTATAATATAATTTTTAATATTTGTGACTTGAAATTCATACTTATATAATTAATATGTCCAATGCAATTCGTTGACCAGTTTTAGTTTATACGCACATGTGTAGCATATATTTATTTCTTGCTTAAATTTAATAAATAAAAAACTTAAATCTATTATTATTTTGGAGATGATATTAATGATTTTGTATTGGTTTACAAGGTTTGCTAGCGAACATAAAAAGGATTTGGCAAAATATGGTCTTAAAATAAAGCAAAAAAAATGATGATACTTAGGGCTACAAAAAAAAGTAAAAGTTTCGTCTAATTTTCTTTTGACATAAATTATTAAGAATATTGTCAAAAGACTAAGAGGGGCCTGGTCTAATAAGGCCTGAAAGGTTTTCAGTATGAAGGTTTAAATGCATAAAATTGTTTATCGACGACCAAAGACTAAAGTGTTTTTGCCACAAACTCAAGTTTTCTAATCATTATATATCAGCAACCCGATGAGATAAATCTGTGATATTTCAAACTTAAATTATTTGACTTAACAGAATTCATTGTTCTAAATATCAATGGTCTACGACATTCGGTTGCAAAGATGGATTAGAATATTAGAGTTTGTGACAAAAACTTAATTCCTTTTGAGACCTGGAAAAGTAAAAAATAAATAAAAATTTTTTAGAAAATCAAAAAAGCTTTTACTTTATTTTGGTCTCCAAAAAGCGGCAAAAAAAGTTGGTTAAAGTTAAAACAATGCATTTCTGGTATTGATTTGATCCTGATATTTTTGTTAACTACGGAAAACCATCATTTAAAATTGTTTTTGACAGGGTGATATAAAAACAGTACAGGATTTTTGTAAATACGAACGTTAACTAGTATATTAATATACAGGGTTACCCACAAAGTATAAGACGGAAAAATAAAGTACAAGACGGTAGAAGTAAATATTTCCATTTGTTGTTGTAACGCCGATATAAGGATTTATATCTAATTGGATGAGCTAGATAGAAAGATAGATGTTACCGCCATACTATTTCTATTGGTTCAGAATAGACAACAAACACATGACTGAACTCTGATTGGATCAGGCGCTAATGGACTCAGCATACAGGAGTGATGTTCTCACTGATAGTATACTAATGCAGTAAAAAATAACGCAATTATTAGGGATTTGGTTGACATTTTATTGCAATATAGGCCAGGGTGATATATGCCGGCCCCACTATACTCTCACTGCAAAACTAAACAGAAGTAAAAGGTAAATTTGTACGACATAGCCGCGCTGGATCGTCTTTGCGACCTCGTAGCTCAAAGACAAGTATAAGAACTACCCGGTCACATATTAGAAATTCAAAAAAATTGAATTCTTCTCAATATCTCTTCAATAAGATTGAAAACATAAAAAATAAAAATTTTACAAGCAATTTACTTTATTTCAATGTGTCTAGTTAGTTTTGTGTGGCCTAATGCTATGTGTGTGCGTACGTGCACGAATGTCTCGTGCTCTGAATACGTTGCATGTACCAAATTATACAGTATGCTCGTGTATGCTCAACTAGACATAGAGAAAACTTATACTTAACCAGAAGTAGACTTTTTTAACAGGATCTTTATTTTTGTCTATCTGTCTATCTCTCTATCTATCTATCTTTCTATCTATCTAGACTTATAAAAAACTATATCTATCTAAACTAACCAGAAGTAAACCAGAAGTTTTTTATAGATACTTAACCCCAGTCCTGTAATATCCCACAAATATAATTTAAAAACAATTTCATAATGATTGCTTTACAGATCATGGGATATATTGTATTCATTTTTGTATTATATCCCTGGTTGTATTATATCCCTGCTATATTATATCCCTGGTTGTATTATATCACTGCTATATTATATCCCTGGTTATATTATATCCCTGGTTATATTATATCCCTAGTTATATTATATCCCTGGTTGTATTATATCCCTGGTTATATTATATCCCTAGTTATATTATATCCCTAGTTATATTATATCCCTAGTTATATTATATCCCTAGTTATATTATTTCCCTGGTTATATTATATCCCTAGTTATATTATATCCCTGGTTATATTGTATCCCTGGTTGTATTATATCACTGCTATATTATATCCCTGGTTATATTATATCCCTGGTTATATTATATCCCTGGATATATGAAATCCCTGCTATATTATATCCCTGGTTATTTTATATCCCTGGTTATATTATATCCCTGGTTGTATTATATCCCTGGTTATATTATATCCCTGCTATATTATATCCCTGGTTGTATTATATCCCTGGTTATATTATATCCGTGGTTTTATTATATCCCTGGTTGTATTGTATCCCTGGTTATATTATTTCCCTGGTTATATTATATCCCTGGTCATATTATATCCCTTGTTATATTATATCCCTTGTTATATTATATCCCTGGTTATATTATATCCCTGGTTGTATTATATCTCTGGTTATATTATATCCCTGGTTATATTATATCCCTGCTATATTATATCCATGGTTGTATTATATCCCTGGTTATATTATATCCCTGGTTATATGAAATCCCTGCTATATTATATCCCTGGTTATATTATTTCCCTGGTTATATTATATCCCTGGTTGTATTATATCCCTGGTTATATTATATCCCTGCTATATTATATCCCTGGTTGTATTATATCCCTAGTTATATTATATCCCTGGTTTTATTATATCCCTGGTTGTATTATATCCCTGGTTATATTATATCCCTGGTTATGTTATATCCCTGGTTATATTATATCCCTGGTTATATTATATCCCTTGTTATATTATATCCCTTGTTATATTATATCCCTGGTTATATTATATCCCTGGTTGTATTATATCCCTGGTTATATTATATCCCTGGTTATATTATATCCCTGCTATATTATATCCATGGTTGTATTATATCCCTGGTTATATTATATCCCTGGTTGTATTATATCCCTGGTTATATTATATCCCTGGTTATATTATATCCCTGCTATATTATATCCATGGTTGTATTATATCCCTTGTTATATTATATCCCTGGTTGTATTATATCCCTGCTATATTATATTCCTGCTATATTATATCCATGGTTGTATTATATCCCTGGTTATATTATATCCCTGGTTGTATTTCATCCCTGCTGTATTATATCCCTGGTTATATTATATTCCTGGTTGTATTATATCCCTGCTGTATTATATCCCTGGTTGTATTATGATATGGTCCAGTATTAGTAAAATGAAAAGTAAAATATTTAGGTTAAAGAAAATTTTATGACAGCTCGGCACACGCCAACTAATCAGCTGACATGAGAATATAATCAGCTGACATGAGAATATAATAAGGGTATAATCAGCCGTATAGGGGCATAATCAGCTGAATAGGGGTTTACGTTGTTTATGGGCATAATTAGCTAAATAGGGGTATTGTGATCAGCTGTATAAGGACATAATCAGAGGATTAAGGTTATACTCAGCTGTACAGGGATAAAATACACAGCTTTTGAATTAATTGGTGTTCAGATGATGATTTGTGTGTGTTGGATCGATTAGGTTTTGTAAAGATTAAAAAATATTGCTCTCCGATGATAGATTTTACTGCTTTGCTATCTTTTAATACCGCAGTTATACTTGTATTCTTTAGAGGAGTATATATATATATATATATATACATATATTTATACTTGTATTGTTTAGAGGAGTTTATAATATATATATGTATATACTTGTATTGCTTAGAGGAGTATATATATATGTATATTGTATATACTTGTATTGCTTAGAATGCAGGAAAAGTTGTACACAAGCTCAGGAGGAGTATTCATATATATATTAACCAACACACTTACCAAGATATTCAACAGTTGCTCACTAATGCAATAAGGTTTTCGGACAATCCTGCCTTCGGAAGGCATCTTCCCCTGCTTTATGGATTAAGTTGGAAGTTCTTAGTTTAGTTGACTCCATAGGTTGGTTTGTATGGCATCCTTGTACATACCATATTCCTGGAGAATAGGAGAATGAGTATATGGTTGAGGGAGGGGTAGAGGAGGGGGGAGGCGGGGGGAAGTTTATTTAACTGCCTAGTACAGGACCCTGAGGCACACCAAACCATTCAAGTGTAGAGTATTCAACCCTTGTATAATCACCTATCCTTGGTCTAGCAAATATTTGCTAATTTCAATATTTATCTCAAACTGTCCAGGCAGGTTAGATTCATAAAATATAATTCTACTTTAAATCCATTTCACTTGATAAATTGTTTTTTTGCAGTTACTGATACAACTATTCGCTTTGTATAAACAACATCAAATACTATCTCGTCTTCCTCCGTCATATCATTGTGGGTTTTAGTATAAACAGATTCATAATGCTATTTAACGCCCTTCATACAAAATAAGTTGTGGTAAGTTTAATATGAAACGCCCTTCATACAAGATATTGTAGTAAGTTTATTTATGAACCACTCTGTACAAAAGATAACGCTCAAATATTATAATCCGACCGTTTGAATAATTCAGATTTGCATAGAATATTAAAAAGTGGTATTAAGCTTAGTTTTCCATAGCGTTAGGAATTATCTGGGCTGATCTGCAGTGGTTCGTTGATTTGGGTTTAAAGGTTCTGTGAATGCATAACTTAAGTTATCCCTCATTTGTAGAATGGCATGTTCGATTTCCAAGGTTACCGTCATAAAGCTTTTTCTGATGATGCATAAATTAGATATCAATGTACGTTAATAATCTTGAAATCAATTAATTTCACATTTTTGATCAGTCAAAGGTTTCGAGTGTAAATTGGGTATGCCCATCTTAAAATGGAGGGTTACTGGAAATTACGTTTTAGCCACTTTAAATGACATTTGTTGCTGTTTATTTTTCAAATTGTCTTAATGTCAATTAACCATTTTATCATTTGGTCATTTTATTCAGTTCGTCATTTCTTCTTGGTATCTAAATCTAACAATAATATTTGCAAAGGAATTGAGTTTTTGCCACAAACTCAAATCTTC